AAATAAAAATTTAAAAAAAAAAGAAACTGTACTTGCGATTTGATTTGAAACTGTCTCATTGCTATATGTTTATCAATAAAACTTTGAAAAGAAAAGAAAAAAAAAAAACAATGCTGCAGTGACCAAATGATATGAATTACTCAGTTTCCAAAATTGTTAGCAGCAACTCCCCTTCTAGGTGTCTTTCCTAAAGAGTTTAAAGAGGATATACTACAGGGATATATACATACTCATGTTTATAGCTATACACTTCATGAACACAGACTGTTAGAAGTGGCCTATATAACCATCAACAGTGAATAGATAAAGAAATGTGGTATTTCTGCACATGAGAGCGCTACTCTGTCATAAAGAAGGAGAAACTTAAGTCAAACTTTTAGGAAAGTAGATGCACTTTGAGATGATAATGTTAAGTGAAATAAATCAGACACACGTTCAAACATGACAGTTTCTCTTACATGAGAAGTTCAGAATATAAATAAAAGTAAAATGAAAGATGAATTATACGAAGTGGGGACATTGAGCCTTTGCAAATGGGAAAAGGACTAAGACATGAACGAGAGGGATTTGGAGAAGAGAGGGAGGGGATAAAAAACGAATAAGATGTGTTATGTCCATGTGGGAACTCCCCACCAGGAATGTAATCATTATGTACTGTAAACGTTTACTAATAAAAAAGAATAATTGAAAAAAGTTTGGGCTGGGAAGATAGCTTGGCAGTCTAAGCACCTGCCTGGCAGGTGCGAGGACCAGAGTTCGATCCCCAGTACCACATGACCTGCAGGCCCCAGAACCTTGGACAGGCTGCGGGCATGCTGTGCTAGCCCGGAAACCAGGCATGTTGATGTACGCCTATAATCCCAGCACTGAGGAGGCTGAGACAGGAGGATAACTACTGCATAGCAAGACCCTGTATCAAATAAATAAAATAGAAAAAAAAAACCTTTAAAAAAATAAAAAAGAAAAAAGTTTGATGCATGATAACAAAAGAAAGATTATCAGCAGAATAATCAGACCTTTAGAACCTAGAGAATAATTTTGAGTCCTGATCTTTCCAAATCACAAAACGGAAACAGAGTAATTTAAGCAATAGTTCTGAATTCAGATTCTGATTTTACCACTTATAAGAGGAGGGAGTGTTGGCTGGCTCCTTGTTCTTAGAGTAAAATGGAAATGATAACAGTACTGGCCCTCACTCTCTGCTCTTGTGTGTCCATTGATAGCCGTTCTTCCTGCGCAGCCAGCGATCCAGACAAGATGATGAAGGTCAGAGTGAACAGATTCGGCCATATTGGACATCTGGTCACCAGGGCTGCATTTAACTTTGGCAAGGTGGATGTTGTGGCCATTGTTATGGTTTGTGTATAGTTGTCCCCCCAAAGCCTCGGGCAGTCTTGGTGCAGCTTCTGGAGTTTTGATTGATTACTGTGGGTGTGGATGCAGCACTTGCCCTGGGGCAGGCAATTTGCATTTCAGTGTAAGGAGGTAGAGAAGCTAGCTGCTTGAGCTGCTGCTACCTCTCCCTTTGCTCTCTTGCTCTTTGTTGCCACCATGAAAGGTTGCTTTCTGCTATGTGCTGCTCTGCCTTGGATCCAGCTGAATATGGACTGAAACCTCCAGTAACTGTGAACTAAATAAACCTTTCCTTCCTTCGAGTGTTGGGTATCTGTCCCAGCAATGAGAGAAGAGTAACTAAGACAGCCATCAATGACCCCTTCACTGATCTCAACGACATGATCTACATGCTCCAGTATGATTCCACCCATGGCAAGTTCAATGGCACTGTCAAGGTTGAGAATGGGAAGCTCGTCATCAACAGAAAGGCCATCACCATCTTCCAAGAGCAAGATCCCACCAACATCAAGTGGAGTGATGCTGGTACTGAGTACAGGGTGCAGTCCACTGGTATCTTCACACCATGGAGAACGCCAGGGCTAACCTGAAGGGTGGTTCCAAAAGGGTCGTCCTCTCCACTCCTTCCATCAATGCCTCGATGTTCACGATGAGTGTG